CAACTTATTGATCGACATTCAGCACTACAAACGTCGCATAAGGAAGATTCCGACCGCATTCCATTCACTCTCACGTTTCACCCTCACAACCACTCAGTTAAATCCATCATTCTTAAAAACTTTAAATTACTTCAAAACGATCCAGAGACAAGCACTATCTTTTCGCAGCCTCCGCTCATTTCATTCAAACGCGACAAAAACATAGGCAATTTTTTGGTCAGAAGTTCTTTTCAGACTAATGACCAACCAGGCACTTTTAAATGCGCTCGTGCACGATGCAAAACGTGTCCTTTCATTCACAACACTGATAAAATATCGGGACCTAAACGATCCATTAAGATCACCGATCACTTCACGTGCACCTCCGCCAATGTAATCTATTGCATAACTTGCACTTATTGCAAAAAGATATACATCGGCGAAACAGGCAGAAGACTAGGTGACCGATTCCGAGAACACCTTCGAGACGTGGAAAGGAATGACAAGGACACATCGAAACCAGTCGCTAGACATTTTAATTTACCTAATCATTCTAAGCAACATATGGCAATCTGCGGTCTTTCCTTGCACTTAGGTGGCACGGAAAGCCGTAAAAATCTTGAACAAAAGCTCATCTTTCAAACCGGCAGTCTAAATCTCACAGGGATCAACGAACGCTTTTCATTCCACTAATTTATTCATGTTTTTCTCGTTGCCATGCTCCCACCAATAACGTAGCTCCATTTTCTGCCTTTAAAAGCACACACAACCCACAATTCCTCTATTCGCTCCGACGAAAGGCTAACGCTCGAAACGTCAGCTTTTGTAATCATTACGGTGGTCAATTTACCATTTCAACTTTGTTGATCTATCCAAATTACCTGGAAAGTAGTTGAACCGCTTATGACTCCCCACAGACGGTATCCCAGCAGTATGACGTCACTACTTGTTTGAAAATTGATGGCGTCAATATAGCCAGGAGAGTGGTTCCAGCTCTGACTTGGACTTTCGGATCTGCTGCGCCAACACTCATAATGGAACGGTCAGTTTTATATTTACCCTGAATACTTTTAAATTAGTTTGCCATCTAACACTTATTTATGATCAGCGAAAACTACTTGTTGTGCCGCTTATATGACATCAAACAAACAGCAAGCCAGATGATTATGAATTAGTTCAGTTTACAATTCAAATTGAATTCGTGCATTGTACAACATTCTGGCGGCAAGATTATAACCTGAAATAAGCACGTCGATATCGATAACATCGCGTAAACTAGCGAGGTAAACCCAAAGCTTTTGTATCAAATCTAAGAAAAAGCCTGGGCTGATCAATGATGAAACTTGGTTAGGATATTCGTCAGATATCACTGCACAAAATGGTGTGAGGCCTCAGCGAACTTCGAAATATTTTTCTTGTGACTTGCCGGCGCGAAACAACAACCGAAGTATTTTCTGTTATCCAACTTCAAAGTAGGTTTTCTCGGGAATCAAAAGGAATATCGCAAAAGCCTCACACTCTTTTTTAGCCTATTATCTGTTGAGTGATACGGTCAAATTTATGTAGATGTCAGCAGTAACGCGAAGGCTAATAATTCAGTCAAACAAACATCGTCAGTTTTGACTTTAAGGGCTTACACTTGGCTACCAAAACAAAAACTGTCAAAACTTTTCTAATTTTCAGAATCTTTACTTCATTATAAGCTTTACAGTGACACATAAATTCTTGTGATTTATTTTAAAGTAGCGCGCGTAGGACAAACTTGTAATGTAATTTGTTGCAATCTTAATCGTATAAACCCCCGCTTTTCGCTCTTACATCAGTCAAAAGCGGTTGATGCAACTCACCGTCAGAAACTTCCTACTTTGTTGTTAATACTTAACTGCAAGAAATTTAGCTGACTTCTTTTAAATGGTATAATGATGAAACGGATAGATCTATTTTTGTTAGAAAAGTTCTTGAGATCTACTGGTAATGGATGAAACATCTCAAACTGAATAAAAGTACACGAAATTCCTATCGAGAATGGAAACTGTAGTATTTTCTTTTTAGCAGTGACTGGAACGGAAGATAAGCGCTGGTATTTGGCCTCTGGATACGTCTGATGCGTTGGTATCTCTGGAAGATTTCATAAACGTAACAGTGATACCAGAACATGAACTACTGGACATTCCATCCTGATGAGCATGTGTGTTACTACCGCTTGTGGTTAATTTAGATGTTGCTGTGTATAAAACACCAGCACGGAGAGAAATCCCAGAAGAAAAACGAACTTCAAACGTCTTAACTGAGGATGTGGTATGGTAGGATCCAGTCTTTTCTGCGATCAAGGAACTTCCACGATACAATCGGATGGTGACCTGGAAAGTGGTTGAACCGCTATAGACTCCCCACAGACGGTATCCCAACAATGTGACGTCACTACTTGTTTGGAAATCGATTGCGTCAATTCTGCCAGAGCTCGAGGAGTGGCTCCAGCTTGTACTTGGACTTTTGGATCTGCTGCGCCAGCACACAGGATCTGACCATAAAAAAATTATATAACCCCGAAAGAATATAGTAAGAATGATTGTATAGAATGTAAGCGGTTTTTTTTTTACTTCTAACTTAGAATCTACCTGGAGCAGCTCAGATCTTCATGGCCTCCATCTAAAGATAATTGGTACATCATTATTTTGACGAAAGGAGATATTCATTCTAAATCGATCAAGTCGATCTCTTACATCCATCGGTCATACATACTACTATACAAAGGAATTAATAATGGAACTTGATTGAAAAGAGAGCAATTTGTATACTCTGGGTAATCACATCTTTCGAGTGCAATTTGGGATAAATCAGTGGGGTGAATTTTTCAAAGGCTAACCAAATAACACGAGTCCCTACGGCGAATGCAAGTTGTAGTCATCCAAACATCAACGAGTGCTGATTTATCCCAACTTTTACGAGATAAATTACGGGATTGCTTGTTAACAATATACAAGCAAAAGAATCTCGTTAGAGCGGTTTTTGGAAGCCCAAGGCTTCCACAAATGTTGTTTGTGCTTTATAGAGTGTTTTTTTCTTAGCACTCTACCTAAATTATGAATTAAAATATTGTTTATTTGTCTTTACCCATCCACATTTTTTTTCGTTGTGCTTTCGAGACTTTCCTGTCAATCCAATGAATTTCAACTTTATAGGCGCGATTTTAACTTTTTGCACTCAATTTCAACTTTCGCACTATTTGGGATTAATTGACGCGCGTTCTCAGTCAAATAGCATGCTGAAAATACAAAATTAAACTTCGTTTCTGTACTTCGGTCATATCAACTAAGTTGAAATTGTAAGTTGGCCACCGTAAAGAGTTAAAAAGCTGACGTTTCAAGCCTTAGCCCTTCGTCAGAGTTAATAGAGGAATTGTGGGTTTCCTGTGGGTTTATATGCAGAAAGTCGAGCTACACTATTAGTGGCAACATGGTGACAAGAAAAACGGGAAAAATTAGTAAACTGAGAAGCGTTCGTTGATACCTATGGGGTTAAGAGTGCCGATTTAAAAGATAAACTTTTGTTCAAAAGTTTTGCGGCTTTCCGAGCTACCTAAATGTAGGGAAAGACCGCAGATTGCCATATGCTGCTTAGAATGACTAGGTAGATTAAAGTGTCTAGCGACTGGTTTTGATGCGTCCTTGTCATTCCTCTCTACATCGCGAAGGTGTTCTTGGAATCGTACACCTAGTCGTCTTTTTGTTTCGCCGATGTATAACTTTTTGCAATAAGTGCAAGTTATGCAATAGATCACGTTGGCGGAGGTGCACGTGAAGTGATCAGTGATCTTAATGGATTGTTTCGGTCCAGAAATTTTCTGAGCGTTGAGAGTGAAAGGACAAGTTTTGCACCGTGCGCGAGCGTATTTAAAAGTGCCGGGTTGGTCATTAGTTTGGAACGAACTCTCACCAAAACATTGCCTATGTTTTTGTCGCGTTTAAATGAAACGAGTGGAGGTTGCGAAAAGACAGTACCAGTCTCTGGATCGTTTTGAAGGAATTTAAAGTTTTTAAGAATCAGAATGGATTTAAGTGAGTGGTTGCGAGGGTGAAATGTGAGAGTGAATGGATGCCGTCGGAATTTTCCTTCTGTAACGTTTGTAGTGCTGACTGTCGATCAATAAAGTTGGGCTCAGCTGTGACCCGCTTGAACGACAGAAACAGTGTAACTACATTTTTCGAAAAACGGACACATTGACACTAATTTGTGGAAAAAATCAGAGTCATCACCACACAAACGACGAAGTCTTAGAAACAGGGAATGGAATTCTTTAGAAACTTACCCACTTTATTCACTTCTTTCTGTACTGCCACGTTCATGGAGACTTTCCTTGTACCCAAGCTGTTTGTGGCTACGCATTCATACGATCCACTGTCACCAGGGGAAATATTTTTGATCGTCAGGCTTGCATTGTTTGAAACAGTCTTTCCAGCAGGTGTAGACGTTCCTAATCTGCGCCAGGTTATCGCAGGAGGTGGAAACCCTTCAGCTTGACAGGCCTGTTGGAAGGTACAAAACTGCTTTGGTGTGGCGAGGGATGGAGGTACCACAGTGAAAATAGGGAGACCTGTATCAAGCCAGCAAAGCATGACGGTGAAGTATGAATGCAACATAACGTGAGACACTTTCATTGATTAATTTCTAGTAGAAGGCAAGACACTTTACTCTCACAGTGCCTCTCTTCACCCAGGTGTTTAAATGGGTACCGGCAAATTTAATGCTGGGGGGTAACCCTGCAATGGACTAGCATCCCATCCAGGGGAGAGCGGAAATACTTCTAGTCGCTTTATGGTATGGAAATCGGAGTTAAGCACCGGACACTGATGGGCCACTGGGCTTGTAAACAGACTTTTCCTTTTTACTTTACAAAACTCAGAGTGCTTAAGGGAAAATAATCGTTCTCGTTTGTCATCCAACCTTATTGGTTATTGGCAAGTACACTATGCCAGATTGGCAATTTTTACAGGCCAGGGTTTTTTACCTAGACGATATCTCAGTTTTCTAGTTTAGATATATTTAAGGCAGTATTTACAAAACAGCTACGGCTAAAAACAGTTTTGAGTGATATTCGTGACTTAAGAATGTCTGCCTGTTAGGATCGAGAATCGTCCGTCAGCGACCATTTTGGTGAATTGCTCATATTTTGCCCAACGATACCCTTTGGTAAACTGTTTTCAAAAATCAAGTTTAAAAGTTCCGACGAGTGTTAATTTTTCAAAAATTTGCGAAAATTTGAAAACGCGGTTTAAGTGCGGTTTTCCGCCTGGCAAATTGTCCAAAATTCACTGCAAAA